TACACCGAGTTCTACTAATCCAACATCTAGTCTCAGTTCTCCAACATCTACTCTCAGTTCTTCTCCAACATCTACTCTCAGTTCTCCATCTACTCTCAGTTCTTCTCCAACACCTACACCGAGTTCTACTCCTCCAACATCTACTCTCAGTTTTCCAACATCTTCTTTGGGGTCTACTCCTTCTCCAGCATCTAGTCTGAATTCTACCCCTTCTCCAACCTCCACTTCCAGTTCTGCTCCTCCACTGACTCTTAGTTCTACTTTTTCTTCTAGTCCTCCTACATTTACTCAAACTTCTTCAACAGGAATGACATACTCTTCTTTCTCGTCAACATTTACCCCAACATCTACATCTTCCTCTTCTTCAATAGCAACTTCTAGTCCTGTAGTGTCAGCGTCAGTTTCTTCTTCAACATCCATTCCCACATTCACTGTTTCTTCCAACGGGTCTCCTATCTCTCTCTCTCCGACAACGGCTCTTTCTACTTCAGCGACCCTTCCGCCTCGCACTTCCACTTCCACTTCAGCGACCGTTCCGCCTCGCACTTCCACTTCCACTTCAGCGACCCTTCCGCCTCGCACTTCCACTTCAGGGACCCTTCCGCCTAGCACTTCCACTTCCACTTCAGCGACCCTTCCGCCTAGCACTTCCACTCAGCACCCTTCCGCCTTCCACTTCCTCTTCAGCGACTTGCTTCCACTTCAGCGACCCTTCCGCCTCGCACTTCCACTTCAGCGAACCCTTTTCCGCCTCGCACTTCCACTTCCACTTCAACGACCCTTCCGCCTCCACTTCCACTTCAGCGACCCTTCCGCCTAGCACTTCCACTTCCACTTCAGCGACCCTTCCGCCTAGCACTTCCACTTCAGGGACCCTTCCGCCTAGCACTTCCACTTCAGCGACCCTTCCGCCTAGCACTTCCACTTCAGCGACCCTTCCGCCTAGCACTTCCACTTCAGCGACCCTTCCGCCTAGCACTTCCACTTCAGGGACACTTCCGCCTAGCAATTCCACTTCAGCGACCCTTCCGCCTAGCACTTCCACTTCAGCGACCCTTCCGCCTAGCACTTCCACTTCCACTTCAGCGACCCTTCTAGCACTTCCACTTCAGCGACCCTTCCGCCTAGCACTTCCACTTCAGTGACCCTTCCGCCTAGCACTTCCACCTCAGCGACCCTTCCGCCTAGCACTTCCACTTCAGGGACCCTTCCGCCTAGCACTTCCACTTCCACTTCAGCGACCGTTCCGCCTAGCACTTCCACTTCAGGGACCCTTCCGCCTAGCACTTCCACTTCAGCGACCCTTCCGCCTAGCACTTCCACTTCAGCGAGCCTTCCGCCTAGCACTTCCACTTCCACTTCAGCGACCCTTCCGCCTAGCACTTCCACTTCAGCGACCCTTCCGCCTAGCACTTCCACTTCAGGGACCCTTCCGCCTAGCACTTCCACTTCAGCGACCCTTCCGCCTAGCACTTCCACTTCAGGACCCTTCCGCCTAGCACTTCCACTTCAGCGACCCTTTAGCACTTCAGCGACCCTTCCGCTAGCACTTCCACTTCCACTTCAGCGAGCCTAGCACTTCCACTTCAGGGACCCTTCCGCTTAGCACTTCCACTTCAGCGACCCTTCCGCCTAGCACTTCCACTTCCACTTCAGCGACCCTTCCGCCTAGCACTTCCACTTCGAGCCTAGAGCGACCCTTCCACTTTCAGCGACCCTTCCGCCTAGCACTTCCACTTCAGCGACCCTTCCGCCTAGCACTTCCACCGACTCTCTCTCAACATCCAGCTCTTCCTCAGTGTTTCCTTCAACCGTTTCTGGCGCCTCCTCCCCGCCCATGTCTTCCTCCACAGATGTCACTTTCTCACCGACATTCAGCACTCCAATTACATCGGTGTCTTCCGCAGCAACAAGTGATCCCGTCGTTACAGGCACGTCTAGCACCACGTCGCCAATACGGCCATCTACCACTGACGTTCCTCCCACAACGACCGTTGAGACGAGCCAAGGGATCGGGCCCTGCGGCACGGATTCTTGCGTCGGTGCTTTGACGACGTCGGAGTTCATTGTGATCATGGCTTCATGCTTCGTTCTTCTGCCGTTAGTCATGGTGTTCTCTCTGGTGTTCTGCGTAACCCGACGTAGATGGGTCAAGGTTAGTCAGATCGGCTGTGTTAATGCCGGCATCTCCTTCAGGTTCATTCAATTTAGGGAGGGCATCCGCTCGTTGAGTATCCTCGTCACATCATCGTTGTGTATCGCCCAGGGATTGCGACACTGACCGTCAATACGCATGCGTTTCAAAATAAAAGGATTGCAACCCCATTTCAAAACTGCATCTCTTAAATTATCAAATATTCCGTACAATAATAATAATAATAATAAAGAGAATAATAATAGAAATGAAAATGATTATGAGAATGATTATGCTGCTGTTTCTGCTGATAATAATTATAATAACAACCATAATGATAGTGATAAAAATGATAATAATGATGATCATCATGATAATAGTATTATTAATAATAACAGGAATGATAACAATATTAATTATAATGATGATAATAGTAAAGATAATAATGATGATAATAATAACAATGAAAATGATGGTAAGAATGATAATGGTAGTAATAATGATGATAAAACAATAAGAAGAATAGTAGTAGTAATGCAGATGACTATGATAATGATGATGGAGATGATGATAATGACAGTAACAGAAATACAAATAGGTAAAAGGTATATTAATAAATAAATGAATAATAACAACAGAAATGATAGTAACAACATCAACAACAATAATAATGACAATGATGATTATAATAATGATAATGATAATAATAACAATGGTAATGGAAACAATTACAAAAAATGACAGTAGTAAAAATAATAGTGATAAAAAAAAGAATAATAATCATTATTATTGTGATAACGATCATGATAACAATAATAATAGTAATGATAACAATAGTGACAATAGTAATAATGATGATGATAGTGATACCAATAATAAGAAATATAAGAATGATAGAAATAATGATAATAATCATAACGCTGGTGGTAATAATCATGATGATGATGTTCATCATAATAATAGTAATACTAATGATAATGATGATGATGATAATAATAATAATAATAATGTTAATAATAATAATAATAATAATAATAATAATAATAATAATAATAATAATAATAATAATAATAATAACAATAATGATAATGATAATATTTTTATGATAATACATATAATAATAATAATAATCGGAATAATTACTATAATAATCATGATGAAAATAATGATGATAATAGTATTAACAATCATAGTAGTAGTGAAGATAATAACAATAATAATAATCATAAAATTAACGAAAATGAGCATAATGATAACAATAATAATGATAATAATAATAGTAATAACAATAATGATAATAATAACGTTAAAGATTATATTGATTGCAATGATGATAATAACAACAATAAAAATATTAACAATAATATCAATGATAATGACAAAAAAGTAATACGAATAATTGTAATGATAATAATAATGATAATAATATTAATGATAATAACAATAATGATTATGATAACAACAATAATTCAAATGATAATGATGGTGATGATTATAAAGATGATTTTAGTAACAATCATAATTATAATAATAATGATAATAAGGATAGTAGTTATACTTATAATGATGATAATGATAATGATGCTAAATATAATAAAAATTGATAATAATCATGCTAGTAATTATATTAATAGTATTGATAATAATAATATTGATAATGATGATGATAACAATGATAATGAAAAATATAATAGTGATTCTAATGATAATAATGACAAAAATGACGATAATGATGAAAATGATTACAAAAATAATACAAACAAATAATTATGACAATGAAAATGATGAATAACGATAATGATAATATTGTCAAAAATAAGAACAGCAACAATAATGATAACAGTAATAAAAATATTACATTAATAATGAAAATAATGATTTTTTTTTATTATCACAATAATGATAATAGTAATAAAAATGATAATAGCAATTATGATAACAGAATTATAATAACAATAATAATAGTAACAGTAATAATGATACAAAAAGTAATGATCAGGCTAATAACAATACTTTTAATAATGACAATAATGGTAATAATGATGGAATTGATAATACTGATAAAAAGTAATAAAGATAATGAATAAAGATAATGTTAGTGACAACAATATGATAATATGATGATAAAGGTAATAGTCATAGTAATAGTGGTGAAAATGATAATGATGATGATGATCATAAAAAAATAATAATGACAATAATAATATCAATGGTAATAATGATACTACTATTGATAATATTACTGATAATGATAATGATGATAATCATAATGATGAAAAGATAATGGTAATTATAATAATAACAATGATAATGACAATAATGATAATAGTAATGAAAAGGATGATATAATGATAATAATGATAAGAAGAACAACAATAATAACAATAACTAATAATGAATATGATAGTAATAATAATGATAAAGATAATGATAACAGTGATAATAACGTAAATGTAATTATAATAACAATAATAATAGCAATAATAGTAATGATACAGGAAATAATGATATGATTAATAATAATACTTTTAATAATGATGATGATAATAATAATGATGATAATAATAGTAAATGATAATAATGATAATGATAATGATAAGAAGTAATGATGAGTGATAACAAAAACAATAATAATAATGATATCAACAAAAAATTAATGATAATATTGATAATAACGATAATAATAAGAAATATAATAATAATAATCACTATTATAATGTTAATAATGAAAATAAAGATAATGATAATAATAATATTTGGTGATGGTAATGATGATAATGATGATGGTAATTATGTTGATGACAATAATAGTAATAATAACAATAATGATGATGATGATGAAAATACTAATGATTTTTATTGTGATAATAACAATAAATATGGTAATGATGATAACAATGATGTTAATAATAATAATAATAAAAAAAAATAATAATAATAACAATACTAATAATAGTAATGATAATTGTCATAATAGATATGAAAATTATACTAATAATTAGGACAAAAATAATCATAATGATAATTACAAGAATACTACTAATAATCATAATCAGGACAATAGTAATAATGATGATGATAATAATAATAATAAAAAGAAGAAGAACTATAATGATAATCATAACAATAATCAGGACAATAATTGTCATAATCATGATAATGATAATAACAATAATGATGTTGATAATGATGATGATAATCATCATCATGGTGATGATACTATAAGGATACTCTTACTAATAATAAGAATGGTAATAAGGATAGTAATAATAAATGTAATGATAAAAATTATTATAGATGATAATAGTACTTGTAATGAACCTATGCTGAAGGTTAAAGGTAAACTTTTGATAATGGTAACGTGGTCCGAAAGAAAGAATATTTCTGCTCTTACGTTTATTCCCTGGTCACAAGTACACAATACAACAGTACATGGACACATGATACAAGACCACATGAACACGACAATATCAGGGTTACCGACCCTTCTCACATCACAAACACTCACTATGCTATCCTACCGGAGACTATTCCCCTTCCTTCAGTCTAGCTTCGCCCGGGCCTTTTCACTCTTTGTTACTTAACATGGTAAAAGGTCTCCTCGGGACAGGAACGTTGGGTTCTCTGGGACAGCATAGTATCTGACCTAGTTTCTACAGTGTCCATTGACGTATTAGTGACGGTAATGATGAGCATAGTTACATAATGGGGGCCTGTCAATCCGTCGTCCTGCTAATCCTAAAACCAGGTGTGCTTCAGCAGGTGTCTTCACGAGACAAGCATACAACCCTCCCCGGGAAGGAAAGTCATAGAGAGCTAGGAGGAGTCCACTGATGGTACAAAATTTACAATATATATAAAGTTATATTACACACTAAATAACATAACCACATAAAGGGTAATTATGGAAAATCTTACATGTTTACAACTTGTTCACTGGAGTCGTCAGCTGGTTGTGTCGTTTTGATCGGCACTTCCCTTTGGAGCTCGTCCCCGCCTCCTACAGCGGTACGTAGGGCCGGAGGTTATTCATGTGTACTCTCGCCATGCAGTCGGGGGGCTCTAGGTCCAGCACATCAAATGTCACCAGGTTTAATTTTTTGACGACACATGGGTCATTAAGAAGCCGAGCTTTCTCATCGCATTACCTCTTGTTGGTCTCCAGCATCCTAAGGTTGACCTCGACTGCCAAGTGGAATGTCTGCCGGTTGTTTTATCATTTCACCTTTGTCGACAATTTCTTGGTTAGTGATTCCTCGGAAAAAGAACAATGCCGACCATCCTGTTAAGAGGTACAAAGGCTAGTTTTCGACGGAGCGATGGAGGAGCGGTGTTGAAGGCCAGTCACACTGCTGTTAGATGGGTTGGCTACTGCGAAAGTGACTGTTGGACGAGGGTATTCCAAGGCATCCTTCACGGCTCGGTTGTGGGTGGTATGCAAC